TAAAGCTGAGGGACCTAACTTATCCTAACCTATCTTTTCATGCATAAAACGTGTTTGTCCCAACAGAAAGAATCTTGTAGAAGTACAATGTTACGATGTCATGAACCACTCAGACCACAGCAACATGCCGTCTTCATCTTGCAAACAAAACTAAATGCTGTGTTTTGCATACTGGTAAGGTAAAAAAAAAAGCCAATAGAACACATTTTACATTTACTATCTCTGTGCTGGAATAAAACTAACGCTTTTTGTTCCAATGTTTAATGAATCAAAACGTTTTGAAATCAAGAAAAAAAAAACGAAACAAAAACCCCTACTTAATCCATTGTAGCACTACACGACTTTATAAAAAGAGTAGCTCTCTGCCAGTGTTGCATCAAAAGAAATATTTTAGAGACCCCTGCTTTAGAAGAACCAAATCCCAAGATAGCAAAGTCACATAAAGCCGCCTGAGTACCACCTTATTTGTTCAGACTATTATAATGGAAACTCCGTATTTCATAATCATTTTTGTCCTAAAATAAGAGGAAGGATGTTGCTTTATTCTAACATGCAGTAAAACGATCCTCTTTGTATCTGCTGGAACTGCAGTGTGCTTTTGACAGTTCCGAGTCTGTTTTAGCCTCAGCAGACGTGGATCATGTTTAGCAGTAGTAGACGATGGCGGTGCAGGAATGGGGATTAAAGCCACGCTGCACCTGTCACAGCAGCTCCGTGTATTCTCAGCAGCGCGCAAGTGATCCCTGCGTCTGTCGTCATGGCGTCGGCGAACACAACCACACACACACACACATCTCCCGAGTGTCGTTTAGTGCCTCTGCGAGCAACAGTTTATTTCCCTGCAGCTTTGAAGCCTGGCCCTGAGCTCTGGTTGGAGCAGAGTGAGTGACAGGAGGTCAGGGACTGAGGGAGAGCGCTGTGGGCCAACAAGTCTGACGGTCGAAACCACCATCACCACCGCACACGCCCGCGCCTCCTGCTTTTCACACGATATTAACTCACAAAATGGACACGGGCAGCCCACACAGCAGTTTGTGCCAGTTTGCATTCGGAATCTGGGGCTATGATTATCTAGCATTAATGAATACATGTACAGAGTTGTGCTGTGTTTTAGAGATCTGGCGGTAAGATTTTATAACAGATCTGTCTGCGTTAACAATACACATTATTACTATTGTTAGTCACTTTTAGAATATATGCATTCATGTATGATGGGTTTTCTGCTGCAGGACACCTGAATTTCTCCTACAGGGATCAATATAGTGTTGATCTATAGTATGTATCTATATCTATCTCAGCGTCACTTTTAGCCTGTATTTTTTACAGAATCATAGCAAATATTTACAATTGTATTACATCAAAAGCACCCACTCTTCTACCCAACAATATTTCTATAAAGAAGTCTTCTAAATTACCTTCAATCAATTTTAGTTCCTTTTGAAGTAACAGGAAGTCACAAACTAGAAATTTGGATTGGTATACAGTGAAAGCAAGTAACAAAATAGTTAAAATTGATATAAAGAAAATAAAGTGTGAAAATAAATGATAGATTATTATCTTGATAAATTCAAATATATAAACAAACACATAAGACATATAACAATGCAGGTTATCAAAGGATCCATTGTGAAGGGAAAAAATTAAGCTAACTACTGTATGACCCTGAAAATCTAAATTTCTATTGCAGCCATTGGTAAATTATTCTTAAACTATTATATATAACGAAATACTGAAACGATATCCTTCAGACTATGGCACACACTTCAGAATAAGTGTATTATTTGTCTAACCAAATGACTTTTCTAGAAAATTGTTATTTCACAAAACCCCAGTCTGCGAGACACAAATCATTAATTCAGCCTTTTAAACCCGAGAATCAAAGCATTAGAACGCAATTAGGCAGAAGCCAGCAAAGCAGTAAAGCGTCTGGAGTTTCTGTAAATGGATTCATGTTTGTCGAATAAAGAGAGAGTGGTTTTATAACTCCGCCTGAATGCCACGACCAAAGACGAGCGGTTGGAGAAAAGAATGTGACCTCATGTCCTGGCTCCCAAAAACTTAAGCACTGTCACTTGAACTTTTCCAGCTTCATTAACATTACAGATGAAGGAAATGTTTCAAATATTCTTTTTATGGAAATGCATTCTCCGGCCCTTTTGTTGCTTTTGGCTGCTTTGATGGTGGAATTAAAATAGACACTGTTTATGGAAAGGCCCTCAACTCTCAAGACTCTTAGGAAGTTATATTTTTTCTCTTTTGTTAAATTCAATTTCCGAAAAAGGCCAGACCAAAGCGGCGCTAAAGAGGAGCTGCATCTGCTGTTTGCTAATGAATAGGGAATGGAAGGCAACAAGGCCAAGGCTGAGAATATATCGGGGCGCAGTTAGCTTGAAAACCAGCCTTGTTATTTGTACTTTGATAAAGTTCATTAATCCAGCCGTAACATTAACATAAACATTGGAAAGTCACTAAATGCAAACAAATCATAAGCTTCAATGAAATGTGTTTTTATGAATTCTAATGAGACGTTTAAGTGTGTGTCCTTTAGTATAGAAAAAGGACTGCAAATACTAACGGAAAACTGCGTGAAAAGTTGTGTATATAATCTCATTTTCCACAACAATGTATTTAAAATGACTGCATTTTGTGGCTGACAGAGATAAGGCGCCTGGAAAGTTAGTGCTGGGTTTTGGGGCGATCCAAGACAAAAGCCCCAAAATGTGGCGTGAGGCGCGGTGGACGGACGGAACCTGCTCTAACCTCTTGGCAGAAGACACTCTCTATTTGAATAAACACAAAGCGGATGTACAATGTTTACGCCTGTGGCCATTGCGAGCTGGGATGTATTTTTATTTATTTTTTAAAAGACAATGTGATTCATGAATACAGTGAAAGCACCTTGGAGTCTATCTTCACCCATAATGCCTCACTGCTGCCTGTGCCTATATTGACTGCCTTTAGGAAGACATTGTATTTTCCTGCAGATTAGTCATCCTGTTGTGCTGCTCTGAAGAAAATGAATAGGTTGTGTTTGTGCGTGTGTTTAGATTTCCAGGTCTAACGCATTCGGAATTTATGCTGACATCGAAATGTCGTTTCAATTATTATGACCATTCTTACTTTTATTTGACTCGCGGCCGTTCTATTGGATATAATGTGTTTCTATCTATCAGGGAGAGATTTTTTCAGCTGATACTAATATTTGGTGTGAGGCCCGCTGCTATGACCGATAACCCCTATTCGGTGAGATCAATCTCCCGTTAAGACCCCGATTAAACCACATTCATGTCTACACATTCAATTTTCTATCCAAATGGATAAATAGTGCAGCGCAGTGGCACAGGGGTGAGCGCTCGTGCTTCGCTGCAAAAAGGTCCTGCAGGGTTTGACTCCTGGGTATATACAGGGAGAACATGCAAACTCGCTGGAAAGCTTAGGTGTGGAGTTTCTATGTTCTCCCTGTGCCTGCGTAGGTTTCCTCTGGCTGATCCGGTTTCCCCCCTCCACTAAAATATCAGAATTCTCAACAATTGTAAAGCGCTTTGGGTGATTGTGGTCTGTAAAACGCGCTATATAGATAAAGATACTTACTTCATTACTAAAATCATGTACATTAATTCAGTGTGAATGAATGCATGAACAGAAGAAAATCTAGTGTGTTGTTCTGCCTCTGCTTTTCAGGAGTTCTCACTGCCCCATTCCAATAGGGTTTTTAGAGTTTTTCCATGGCGATACAGGAAGGTCTAAGAACATTGGGGATGATCCAGGACTCTCTTATCCGCCCATTTTGAACCAATGGCTCTGTCTTTATTTTTAATCATTGCATTTCTTGTGTTTGAATGGTTTGATTCTCTGATCTGTGTCGGCAAATTCAACGGTTTTCTTTGGGTAATCTGGTTTCCCCTTCCACTAAAATCATGTACAATAACTACATTAAAGTGTTTTGGTTTTTTTTGTAATTTTTTTTATTGAACACTACATACATAGACAAATCAAGTGAACACATTTAAACACAGATTCTATAATCCATAGCTTGAGATATCCATACCAGTGGGGGCGGATCCCAGCTCAAAAGTAGCCAAAATGACGTGCGCTGACATGCTTGCAATACCACCCCGGGCCAATGGGGGTGGACCCAGAAGAAGAATTAGCCAATGTTAACATATAGCATCTTCTTTCCTCTCAAAAACACCTTTACAGGATGGTCCAAAAGTTGGCTCTTGGCCCAAAGCTCCGTTCCACATGTGTGTCAATGCTGAGGGGAGTGAATTTTTTTGGACCAGTCTAGTTTACTCGCTGTGAATTTTTGAAGTCTCTCGTTTAAATGAATGGAGCTCGTGCCGGTTGACGCATGTACAGATGCGTTTTTTTCACATTTTCCAGCCCCCGCGGCCATTTCAAAACTGCCCATAGACCGCGGAAGTTGTGGCACATTAGTTAGAACGACGGAGACAGGCGTGGCTACGTCCGTTAATATTTACAGTCTATGCTCCATACCAGCACCGGACTGGACCCACTAATCAATTAATTAACGTGTTTGTAGCGTGCGACCGTGTGAGAACGGAGGAAAATCTGGTGTGTTTAATGCCACTGTTGTTCATGAATTTTCATTGTCTCATTGAAATATTCAAACAAATAAAGTAATCGTATTTCAATCATTTAAATCTGCAACTTCTAAGCTTGGATAAGTTATTCTCCGTTATAATCGTGTCTTTGAATTTTCCCAAAAGACTTTTTCACTTTTCCTCTCTCCAGTCCTGGCATGTCTCTTGCCCTTGATGTCATTTGCACTTTTCTTTTACCATCTCCTGCGATTATGTATGTGTTAACTTGTTATGTAAAGCACTTAGCGTTGCCTTGCCTCAATCATAAAACATCACCTCACCTCTGCGTCCAAAAAAAACAATTAAAAACACCGCAAATCCTGTGTGACTGGATCAGCAGCAGATTCTGAAACCAAGTCGTGCTGCATCATTTTTAATCTTTTCATGATTTTGCAGGTTACTTCCTGGAGTTGCTGAACCAGTCGTCGTCCTCGCTGCATTTGAACATGATGTCGACATGGGGCCTTCTGTACTCCCAGAATGCACCTGTGTTCTCCGACCTGTACACAGACCTGCGGCACTACTACAGAGGCTCCAACATCAACCTGGAGGAGGTGCTGAACGAGTTCTGGGCCCGGCTGCTCGAGAGGATCTTCCACCACGCCAACAAGCAACACACCATAGGTACACACACAGTATTAGTGTTATAATGACTACAGTTTAGGAGTTTTTCACAATTTTTTTAAATGATTTTTTTCATTCATAATTGATAGATTTTATTGTCATCTTTCAATATGAATTTAAAACATTACCAGTTTTTCAACATTACAATTTTTTCAGCCAATCATAGTATTTTTTTTGGCACAATTCAAACAAAATTCAATGTGCCTTACATAAAACACACTGTAAAACATATGCATCATTGGACTCAAATTTACACTGTATTATTGAGTTTTTGCCTCAAGGAGACTGTCATAATTCAAAAAGACAACCTCACAAGGCAACATTTATAATGCAAAGAAAATATTACGTAAAATAGTTTTTCAGATTTTTTGATGTGAAACTGACAAAATGTTAGCTGGGTTTCTATCCTAATCTTCAAGTATTATTAAAAAAAGAAAAAAAGCTTACCAATTACAACTAGTTTCTGTTCTAAAAAAGGTCTGCTAACGAACTCATTAAACTAAAGCTTCAATATAGACTACTTTTGGAATAGTCTGTGTCAAAACGAGTCCATGATATACAGACAAATTACATCAAAAGTGACATATGCCATGCCTTTTTTTGTTATAGTTTTTATGATTATGGCTTGATACAGTCCATTTCCAAAATACTAATTGTCAACATTATTATAAATTAAGGTTTCAATGAAAAATCTCACTTTTGCGTGTAATGAGTCTGCCATTTATTAGTTTCAAATTTGAAGTAAATTGAATTCTGAAAAATATTTTGCATCACCTGGCTGAGTGGATTGTACTCTCGCTTCTCAGCAAGAACGTCCTGGGTTCAAATCCCGGTCGAAACAGCGCCTTTCTGAGTGGAGTTTGCATGTTCTCCCCGTGTCTGCGTGAGATTCCTCCTGGTGCTCCTGTTTCCACACTAAAAACATGCACATTAGGTGTGAATGAAGTGAGTGAATGGATGGTGTTCAAATGCAATTTGGATTTCGTAAATTTCATTCTACCGATACTGCAAACATTTATCTTACAGAGAATATCAAATCAAAATTGGATAGAGGGGGTATAGTTGGGGCCATCTACCTCGACTTAAGAAAAGCCTTTGATACTGTCAACTCAGACATATTAATTGCTAAATTATCTAAATTTAACTTTTCACCTAAGGTGCTACAATGGGTGGCATCATACTTAAAAGACAGGAAACAGTGCGTCAGGGTTAATAACAAAACATCTGAAGTAATGTATAACTCTATAGGTGTGCCCCAGGGCTCAACCCTTGGCCCTTTACTCTTCAGTTTATTTATCAATGATTTACCTGATGTATGTTCTGAAGCATCATGTCAGTTATATGCTGACGACACCATCATTTATGTTCACGCAAAAACGAAACAGCTGGCGGCAGAGAAGCTGTCATCTGTAATGGTGTCAGTCTGTGACTGGTTAAAAAATTCAAAATTACACTTAAATACTGATAAAACTATGTGTATGTTCTTCTCTAAGTCGGCAACTAAAGAGAGCGATCCAATAGTTTTGGTGAATGGGCAAGCACTACAAGTGGTGCAAGAGTACAAGTATTTAGGTGTCACCATGGATTCTCAATTATCATTTAAAAAACATGTTAAGAAATTGAGGAACAAAATTAAATTCAATTTAGTGAATTTTAAACACATTAGAAATAACTTAACAACTGATGTTTCAAAATTATACCTAAACGCCACAATTCTCTCGCATATTAATTACTGTATGACGAGTTGGTCTCAGGCCAACAAGACTACACTGTTGCCCATAGAAAGACTTTATAAGCAGACAGTAAAAACATTAGACAAAAAGAATAATTCATATCACCACTGTAAAGTTTTTACCAAACATAATTTCTTAAAGTGGGATCAGTTGATAATGTACTCTGATGTAATTATGGTCTATAAAACCCTAAATGGACTTGCACCGCCTCCATTACAGGAGTTTATACAGCTGAATGTAAATACAAACACGCGCTCATCAAGCAGAGGAGACTGTAGAATCCCATTTAGAAAGACTTCATTTGGACAATCTGCCTACTCAGTACGCGCAGCACATTCCTGGAACTTGATTCCAACAGAATTGAGGAACCTGACCTCATTTCACATTTTTAGGAACTCTGTGAAGAAGTGGCTTTTGGACAATCAGACATGTGAACACAACATGAACTAAAGTCACCAAACACTGATACATGTCTTGCTGTGGAGGATTTTGGTGTTGTGTATATTGTCCCTTTCTGAATTTTTAGTTGAACAAATTCTTATATATTCCTTGCATTTTTAACTATATGTTGTATTCTTCTTTCACTGTCTTTTTATGTCTCTGTGATGGTGTTTCTGCTGTATGTTTGTGCCTGTTGTATGTCCTATACTACCTATCTTGACATCAACCTGCCATGGGACTACGGATGAAAATTAGCCTATATGGCTAACTCCGGCGCATTTACATGTTGAAAAAACACATGTTGATTAATGTGCACTGTCCCAATTCAAATAAAGAATTAAAAAAAAAAAAAAAAAATGGTGTTCATTGGGGGCTGATGTGCCAGTGTGTTTGCCGACTCGCTTCCATCATCATCGTGTGTGAAAGGATTGTAGCAATATCTGAACTCTGAACATTGTAAAGCGCTTTAGGTGACCTTGGTCTGTAAAATGCGCTATATAAATAAACATTACTTTCTTACTGTAATATCTCGCTCCTTTCAACCATTCTGAGAAGATTCACTTTGAACTCTGACTCAAATTCTGAAGACTGTCCTTCAGAAGAACCAGTCCAAAGACGGATGAGGAATATGGACCTTCAAATATTGTCCTGATAGAATATAAGCCTCTGTGAATGGAGTTTTCCCTTGAGCGTTTTTAGAATCCTGTCTTCGCTGCCATATTGATCTATCGACGCTTAAAAGAGCCCTCAGTCCAAAGCAACACGCTCCCGTCTCAATAATCACTAACTCTGGGATATTTGAGTTAAAGTGAAAGAGGAGTTTTATCAATGCTTCTTTCTGTACAGCCTAAACTGACAACATGTTGACATTGCGTGGAATACAGTATTGACCCGGCAGATTTTTTTTTTTTTTTTTTTATTTATTTATTTATTTGAATTAGGACAGTGCACATTAATCAACACGTCAGCCAAAAGCATCAATGTAAATGTACCAGAATTAGCGTGAGAGCTAAATTGCATCCGTTGTCCATTGACAGAAGGAAAATACAAACATAGTACAGAGAACAGCACAAAGTTACAGTCACAGTTACAAGGACAGACACAGGTAAGATAACATAACACGCCCAAGAATTGATTAAGCATTGAACTTTAATTAAACTACCTGTGAGTGCAAGATTGATTTGTTTTTAACCAGATTTTTAGGACCTTTTTAAAGGTGTGGTAATTGTCACAGTTCCTGATATGAACAGGCAGCGAGTTACAAAACTGCGAGCCTCTGATAGACTCCACCGTTTGACTGAATTTAGTCCTAGTCCTAGTCCTTTAGATTGTTCCGAGCTCGAACAAATTGCCAGTGAGTGTTTGTTGAATGACGCGATGGTGCTTGGCTGTGTTGACCCGTATAGGGGAGGACTACCTGGAGTGCGTGTCCAAGCAGATGGACACTCTGCGGCCGTTTGGAGACACGCCCCGAGAGATGAACCTCAAAGTCACTCGCACCTTTGTGGCCTCCCGCTCCTTTGTCCAAGGCCTGTCCACCAGCGGAGAAGTGGTGCGCCGCGTCTCACAGGTAAGGGCTCGAATGTAAGAGAAGAAAATGTATAATAAGAATCATTGTTTTGTCAGCTTAGATCACTTTGAAATACTTAGAAGTGTATTTCTCGTTTTTGTTTTTGTTTTTGTGTATGTGGAGTGGTCAGATACCAGCTTGATGTTATGGATATTATTGCTTGAAATGTTTGATTTGGTTTAAAGCATGTAATATTCTCAATCATGGATCATTTTTGCCAGCAACTTAAATTGTTTTTAAAACTTGGGGCTCTGTACTATTATGAACAGTACTTTTAAATATATTTAAACCTGTTCCTCCCCTTGGCATAACTACAACCAGTCACATTTAATGGAGAACTGTTAACCCGAATTGTCTCAAGAATTTTGGGGCATTTTGACCAATCAGGAAGCTGCAGGGGTGAGCATGGTCAGGTTTGTCTTAAGACTTGCCTCTCCTCAGACAGAACTGTGGAGAGGCAATCATAGCTCATTTACAGTTATACAAATTGAATAAAATGAATATTATTAGTGACTTTTTAACATTACAGGGTTTGAATTCTGATTTTATTCTGAAATGTTTCTTGTCTCAATATCCCACGACATTCAAAAAGTACGTTTTGTGTATGTTTTTTGTGGGTGTGTACAACCCCAAGCACAATCAAAAGCTTAACATGTCGTAAAAACACAATCGCAATTTAAAACAATTGTTTAACTGTCTGGATAAATAATATAGTTGAAGAAGCTACTCTTGGAATATAAAAGATTCAGATTCAGATCAGATTCATTTATTTGCCATTTGCAGTAAAACCACATTGGAAAAACTGTGCAAGACTACCCCGGTGTGCACCAGACGACACACACCAGAGCTCTTGCCACAGCGCCATCTTTACGGCGCCAAAAGACTCAAATCTCTTTTTCAGATATCCAAATATTTCCGGTTTCTGAAAAAGTAAATAAAAGAAAATCCATCCATCCATCCATCCATCCATCCATCCATCCGAGGGTTGACTTTATGTGAATGTGAATGTTGTGTGTCTTAAAACAACCCACTGCCTCTCGATCTCCATAGATGGCAGCGTTAGCTAATGTACCTCCATCGAGTCGTCCCATCCCTCCATGTGACAGCGCCTGCACAGCCGCGCTCCGGGCCATAAGTATGACAAACGCATGTCTGTACCGATGAGTGTGTCCATAAAGTGCGGCCCGGGGACCTGCCAATCAGCTCCTGTGGCCACATAATGTCAGCCGCTCTCTGAAGAACGTGTGTGCGTGCGTGTGCGTGTGTCATGGGAACTGTTAATGCGTCCCCGAAGAAATGGTCCCCTCAGAGGTAGCAGACGGGAGCGAGGTTACCATCCCGGCCCCTCCTCAGAGAAATCATCCTTTGCGAGGTGGTCCGTATCGACGAAAACTCCCCGTACAAAACACCCTCAGCACCCACTCTGGAGAGATGGAAGACAGATGGCGCCGTGCAGATGAATATTAACAGTTTAGCAAGGTGAAATATTGCAAGGTCAGGCTGTGTTTTAAGCCTTAAAAAAGCATGTCAAAGTAGAGGGAGGAGATGGCGTGGGAGCACAAGGCCACATGTTGGGTTTGAGAGATGGATCAATGCGATGTGATGTTGCCGGGTGTGATGGATGCGAGTGGCGCTGGCAGAGCTCACAGACTGCATCAAGATGAGGGGAAAGCGGCCGTGATAGATCTGTCTCCGCCTGCAGCTGGTCCCAGGGAAGAGAAAACAGGAGTTTAGTGCACTGTATACAGCTGATGACAGTTCAATTACAGACAAGTGGAGAATCTCAAGGAGTTAAAGAAGCTCTGTGGAAGACGAGCTACAAGCAATTAGAGTAACAAGACAGGTGGCTCTAAGCTGTGTTTTTGGTTAATGTGGAAATACAATCGAGAAAGATGCAATGCAGTAGCAAGATGCAGCAAGAATAGTGGATCAGGGAAGTGATACTGAATCTGGGGTTTACAAAAGGACGTGGATAATGATGAATTTAAGCTGGGTACCTAATTTGAATATTAAAAAAGTGGCTCCAAAAAATACAAAACAAAAATTGCCATTATTAGAGGAAATGTACTTGTTTCAAGGTAGTATCTACCAGTGGATCAGGATTTTGAAAAATATTTAAAACAAGTAATATTATCTTCAGTATCTTCAGCCTGCATGAGTGAAACAGTCCAAAAACTGTGTGAATCGATGAATACTCTGAAATTAAGAGAATTACTCTAGTCTAACTTTTTGCTGTGTATATGTGATTCTGAAAGCTGATAGGCTGAGTGAGGGTTTTTCAAGTTTCTGTCTCAAAAACGCTGATCTAAAAATGTGACCAGGCCAAAGCATATATGCCATTGAAAACAAGTGAAAGAACCAAACTGTTTTTTGTTCAAAACTGGATAATATGGGTAATTAACTCAAATACCAGTGCACACAATGAACAGAAACAAATGAGGTGATGATTAGTGAACAGTTATAGAAGTTATAATGGTGGTTTAAGTATGAACATATTTCATCAAATTATAAATTGACTGCTATAAAGTTTATTAGCAGTACATTTCCTTCTGCATTTCCATAGTAGTTATTCAGAAAGCTTTTAATTTCAAGTAAAAGCCTGTTGCTGGGACTTGTCTTTATTGTAACAGTGTTGAAGGTTGCTGTAAAAGACATAATTGACGTATTCCACTTCTCACATTTGCACTTAACAAAATGATGATGACAATCCTTCATGCAGCGTGTATACACAGCATGTACATTTATTATTGAAGTGTTGTAGACTTTGACCAACTGTTCTGCTTTATATTCATAACCGGGGTGTCTGCCCTTAGCTCTGTCCTTTGCGTATGCAGATTAAAATGCTGGAGATAGGAACAAATGCAGTGAGTGACACAACGCTGGAAAATTAAAACTCTGGAAGAATTACTATCATCTCATCGTCCTTTAGAGTTTCTGTGATTGTGGAGCCCCGTCCTTCGCTGTCTGTCCCCAAGTTTGTGTGCGAATACTAATTTATGACTTTCCAATATTAGTGTATCCTTCATTCATTTCTATTGGCTTAAAGGGGCAGAACTAGAGTTTAGACCTTCACATGGCTGCCACACTATTAAACTGGTCTCATTATAGGAAGGATCACTGTCACACACATACACACACGCACACACACACGCGCACACACACACACTTGCAGGTGCAGGCACCATGAATTTTATACATACTTTACTGAATGAAATCATGATTCATGGAGGGCAGCACGGTGGCTGAATAAATAGCATTCTCGCTTCTCAGCAATGAGGTCCTGGGTTGAACTTAGAACAGGGTCTTTCTGAGTGGAGTTTGCATGTTCTCTGCCTGCTTTAGTTTCCTCCGGGTGCTCCTGTTTCCCCCACCACTAAGAATATGTACAATACAGTAGGTGAATACTCCAGCTCCGGTTGTCCTAACCAAGCCGAACATCAACATATGGAGATGGGTCCCCGGGCGCTGCACTACTGCACCTTCAGCAGCACTGTCAAAAATAAGCAGTTCATTTTTAATGTAATCTTATCAAACCACACAAATGCAATATGTTCATATTTTATTTATATTATCAAGAGGAAAAATAATATATTTCCGTCCTCATAATTGCTGACAAACCCCAAAACCGCAAGCTCATTATTGACAATATTGAATAATTGAATAGATGCAATATCAATCATCTTGAAGATCCTCCTGCAGAATGGAAAGGGCTTAGTTGTATACAGTATCAGTACGTTCTCTATCTCCGCTACAAAGATATAAGGGCTCCAGCTTTTCTCTAGTGCTAAAATCCCTCTGTGTTGCACTTGTCATGCCTTTCCTCTCCCCCTTCCTCCCCCTCTGCCTCTCCCTCGTGGACAGCTTTATTCCCAGCGCTGGGGAATGGGCCACGTGCCACATGCATAACAGGCTCTGGAGGCGAAGAGTCTGGATCAGCTGGCTGCCGATCACAGGGGGGAGAGGTCGACCATATATCCTTACTAATTAGAGGGGAGACAGCGGGGAAGACCAAACCCAAAGACACAGGGACAGCCAGAGCGTGTAGCCTTTGGGAGTTATTGCAAAGCGGGTAGAAAGCAACTCAAAAGATTCACGCAGCGAAGAGGGCGTTTTGAGTTATAGTATTGTATTCAGCATATTTATAGTTGGTGGCAGACAGTGCTGGTTTTATTGGCGTGGAAGAAAGACTATGTTTGGCATGACAGCGGGTTGGATGTTTGGGAGGTCCATCCTGCTTCACTTCCTTCTGAAAAAGCTGTGGTGTGTCAAAAACTATGCACATCAAGTTACTTAACCAAGACATTTCTCTTATTCTCTCATTAAAGTGAGTTCAGAATGCATGATCATTTTTTGTTTTGGCATTTTCCTTTTATCATCTTACCAAACCACAGCAAAAGTAAATGTTGATGTTAACCAATCCAATCAGATGACAACATGCTGTTTTCATGTTATTAGACAAAAAAGTCATCTTTTGTATATTTGTATGAAAGAGCCTCGATGCTCTGGGCGGAGAGCTGATTGGGTGACTGAGGGCTGTTCTCTCTTTTTCACTTTTCTGTCTCAAAAATCGGATCTAAAACGATGCATTTGAAAACTACTGATGGAACTAAACTATAATTAAAGCGAGGAACGAGGTAAAGGAGCAGTATGTACATATCTGGCCAAAAGTGGTACTGCACTCTCTTTGGCTCAGGTTGCCAGATATGTGGACGTATCCAGCTGGGACCATAAAATCTGAATAAAGAGTTTTGTCAACAACAAATCCATAACCAACAACTTGGTCAAAAAGATAGAAATCCTCCATTTATTCCTTGCTTTGTCATTAATGACTTGGGAATCATAACAAGACCTTTTTTAATTTTGCGGCCACATGTTACTTTACCAGTGAGATTAGCTCGACGTGGTGAGTTCTGGCAACCCGGACTACGGACTTTCTGATTGGTCAAACGGTGGAGGGGGCGGGACATCAAAGTGAAAACAATAACAAGATTTAGGGGCTGTAAAACTATTTTTTTAGATCAAGGCCGTACTTGTGTTGAAGGAGCAGCCATCTTCCCATGGCTCCACCTCCTGCAGGAGGATTAGCGAGGGACTGGTTCTTTGTGAATTGGGTGGCAGTTCAGATTGCCACCCCCCTGACCCAGAAATGGATAATAAAGGGATGAAAAAAAAAAACTAATTTTGAAATCCAAATTTCTCGGCCGAACTACTGTAATCAGAAGTATTGGAAAAGAGCATGGTTTATTTATGCCTTTTGACAGATTAGGGCCATTTGATGATCACTTGACTTGGAATTCTTAGATATTGCTACTTTAAATTGGTTGGGATATACAAGTTTTGTACCACAGCTTTAAATCTATACGAAATTGAATGTGATTTAAATACACTATCTCAAACTAAAGTCAAGTGAAGTAACCTGAATACAATTGTTAGTTTTTCCCCCATACTAAATGGTGGCAAAACTAACACTTTTCTCTTGATTTTCTCTTTTTTTCTCTTCTGTGTCTCAAAAAGCAGATCTAAAATGCATGCGTTGGAAAATCAGTGATGGAACTCTACTATTTTAGAGCGAGGAACGAGTTAAATTGTTTAAGTTATGAAAGTTTGGCATCCCAGCTTTAAATCCTTTGAATGTGATTTTAGTACACTATCTCAAACTATCAAGTGAAACAGGTTAGTAATTGTAAGTGAATACTAAAGCAATTGTTTGTTTTGGCCCTATATATTGATTTCCACCCATTTGTAATTTCAAAACCCACAAAAACTGTACATTGACCAGAGCCACTGTCGTCTCTGCCGGAAAAAAAACAAAAACATTAATATTTCTAAATAATCACTTTAAGAGCAACTGAGGAACGCAGACAACTTGTTCTTCTCGCATGTCGCTCGCCCAAGGACACAAAACTGCGCGGCGGCGGAAAGCCCATAATAACTTAATCAGCTAATAATGAAAATGATGATTAGTTGTCAGACGAGGTCAAAGATTGCTATTACCGTCTAATTTGGAGAAGCCCCGCCCCTCCCCATAACTCCAAGGTTACACACAGGAAGTTGTCAGCATCCGCTCCCAATTAACCGCGGAGGCAGTTCAGCTGATGTAACCCCGAAGTAAGATGAATACAGATCTGCTCATACAACAGGGGTTTCAATGGGAAGCCTCCAGACCCCCCTCCCCCCCAAAATCGTGGCGCTGGTCTGAGTCATGCCGGGGTAATGAGCGGCGGGCTAATGCAGGGCGGAGATGCACTCTGACTCATCCCACATTGGAGATTTGTGGATTCTTTTGACGCTGATCCAGCTCGTCATGTCCCAGGGAAAGTTTTTTATGATGAAGTAGTTAAGCAGTTAACGCTGGAAAGCCTGCTGCTGGCAAGTGTATAATGTGTTGTTTAAGACAATTGGCACATGCAAGATTCGAGGTTTCTCTCTCTCTATTTGCAGTTAAGAAGAAAGAGAGACACAAAAAATGTAAATATTCAAAAAATTACATTTACACAAATAACATACGTACGTTTTGGATGGAAATGGTATGATACAAAACACTACAGGGAACGTTTCGATATGTTTTAAATGATTGGGTGCTGTTCAGTAAAAACTAATAATAGCTTTTGGTCCTTTACGTAACGCTTGGCCCCATGTGAACAAATACAACACTGTTAGTGCATTTCATTTATTAAAGATTGATTGTTGAAAAGTGTTCTCAGCCTCACGCTCCTGTGGTCTCTGCCTATTAGCATATCCAAGAATCTAAAAATAAAACTGTGTATATCTATGTATATGTATATCTCTATGACATTACAATCAAGAAGTAGATCGTGAATAAATGTATAATAATGCAGCGTGTTTTTGTGTATACATTGTTTTGTTTTTTTATCTCCAGGGAAAATTAGAGCAGAGTTATTGTATGCAAACCGGTCAGGAGATATTTTCCTCTTTTATTTTGTATTTAAGAGCTCAGGCTTGTTTAAAAAAATGCATCCTACCAAATTTTGCATGAGGGAATAACAAAGAGTGGATACATTATAGTGGGGAATTAACAAAAAGTAATTGTGGTGGTATACTAAATAGACTTAAAGGTGCTTATCAGTTATGCAAACCAGAATTCCTGATCTGCATATTTAAAAGAAAAGGCCTCTGGATAATAGTCTACAGTATGACAATCCCGTGCAGTGGTAAATCTGTGGTGACAGCTTGAGTCTTGATCTGGGATGACACTCAGGGAGAATGGGTTTGTTTTCGCGCTTCTGTCGAGTGTTCTATGGCGTCCATGAGATTCCTATTCTTGTCCCGTTTCAAGTTTAGTTTTGAGTAAATATGATCTGAGCTGCAGACTTTTCTGTTGGAAGAGCAGTTTCCAGGAAAAGCATCAGGCTGGCCCAGATGTCAGCTTGGAGCAGTTTTGTATGCGAAGCTGGGCCTCTTCCATCCCTGAGACGCACACGCACACACACACGCAAACACACACACACGCACACATACACACACACACACACACACGCACACACACACACCCTCCTGGTTCTGTATGCTGAGCCCAACTCTCCGGTGAACAGAGCTTACTGGTATTAACCCAGTTTCACTTTTAACGCACGAAGGCCCTTTCCTACGGGAGCAGCCCAGTGGGACGAGGGGAATCGGAGGAGGTAGGAAGGAGGAATACTTGTAGCCTATGAACGTCTGGCCTTTTCATCTCATGGGACACCGAATACATTCCCTCAAACTGGTCTCTGTACAGAATAAAGCAAAATAAATTGTAAAATGGACACACAGGGAACTGAAGTCATACAGGCCCAAGCTGGTGACCTGGGGGTGGTTGCTGTGTTGACATATGTCTTTTTACACAATGAATGGAGGACATGATTTTGAAACAGGTATAATATATTCATTACTTTTTTATTGCACTGAAACTCCACAAATATCTTCCAACGTGTTTCTTCGGAAAAAAAAGTTGCACAGTATGACAAAATATCAAATTTGTATGTGTCAAAGTTTATTTTTTCCAATGTCCGAGAGTCGCTGTGAGAGAGAGAGAAGAAGCAGATACTAGCACCTTATGTCCCAAACTGAAGTCTCTGCTGTTGTTGTTACAATCAGAGGCGAGGAGAGTTGGCAAATATTTACTCAAGTCAGAGTAAAATAACAATCCATGAAAAGATTTCAAAATCCTCCCTCAAGCCAGATTTGGCTCACCTGTGTGTGAAGAAGTGTTGTCAGGTGTCTTGCAGCAAGAAGTAGGTTAATATAGTAAAAGTACCACGCAATAATAACTAAAATACAATTCCAATCTTTATTAATAATATCTGGAACACTTGATGCATCAGCCTCACCTTTACCTTTACCTCTAACTGCCCTCAGGCAAACTGAGTTTCAGATCCCTGCTCTACATCCAGAAAGAATATATTACATTATCTCAAAGAGGAAAGAACCAAATCAACATATGAGTGAAACTGAGCCCAAACCAGGACAAGTGTGAACACGCCTTAACTATAAAACCAAGTCCATAACTAAACAGGAGACAAGGCATAAAATGTGTCCTATTTACTCAATGTGGTTTGTTTTATGAGCCGTTGATACTTGTTTAAAGGAGCTTCCCATTTGATCCTGTTGGAGTATTTTAGAAGTTATGTTTAGGGTCAGTGGTACACGTCGGCCTGTTGTGTGTCCACTGCTGTTGTGTGTCCACTGCTGTTGTGGGTCAACTGCTGTTGTGGGTCCGCTGCTGTTGTGGGTCCGCTGCTGTTGTGTGTCCACTGCTGTTGTGTGTCCACTGCTGTTGTGGGTCCGCTGCTGTTGTGGGTCCGCTGCTGTTGTGGGTCCGCTGCTGTTGTGTGTCCACTGCTGTTGTGTGTCCACTGCTGTTGTGTGTCCACTGCTGTTGTGGGTCCGCTGCTGTACTCACTTTTTAATTCTACAAAACTACTCTTTTATTTTTTTTATTTTTTACATTTCCTGTTGTTTGCCCATTTCCCGTCTTTTTCAGCAGTGAGTGATCCTACGCCAAATGTAACATGTCAATTTCTCCACTGTGAGATTTGGTTTTAGAGTTTTATCTTATCTCTTGTCTTATCTTAGACGCAGCTGAGCCTGGAGTGCACGCGGGCCATTATGAAGATGACGTACTGCCCGCACTGTCGCGGCATGGCCTCGGCCCGCCCCTGTGCCAACTACTGCGCTAATGTCATGAAGGGCTGTCTCGCCAACCAGGCCGACCTCAACACAGAGTGGCGCCATCTGGCAGGTGGGCAACACTAGTACTCCCAGAGCAGTCAATTTGACAGCTTTTCAATTTGGAAGAATAATTGCTCCGCTGAGTGCTAGTTACCATAGCAACACACTGTTTACTTGCATTTGTTAGCGTTTAGTTTTGCTGTATTTCCTTTATATTGACCAATTTTACATGTACCAAATATAGACATCGTATGAATTACTTATGTCATAACCCGGGTCAATAGAGATGACAGAAACACGCCAAACAACAGTTGCCAATTGAAATAATATTTATTAATAACCAAAGTTAATATTTTAATTAGGTGTGGAAGTCTGTAGTGAGTGTGTGCGAGTGAATGTGCGGTGAGTGTATGTCTGCAGTGTTCAATGGTGTGTAGCAAATAAACCAAAACGAACCTAAACGAACCAAACCAAATCAAGCAACCAAACCAAACCAAACCATACAAAAAGGAGGCGGGACACGCAGGTGTCAGGATGGGAGCAGGATGAGCCAACCGGAATCTCTGGCCTGTGCACGAGCTTTAAAGGCGCGGCTCCGTGTGACGCACGCGCACCAATGAGCACTGCTTCCACCTGAGAGGAGGAGAGGCTATACGGCCTGTCAGCGGCCGTAACACTTAACCTAAATAAAAGCAGTGAAAAAACACCTTTTTTTTGTTTTTTTTATTTCATTTGAATGGGAGCCGTCAAAAAGACTGCTCTGGGATTTCTAGTAGTTTCAGAATTCTCTGAGTCCTAGTGTTAACACATGTAGCTTAGAATTGTATTAAGCTGTGGAGTCCAGTGAGTTACAAACAGGAAGTGGAGCATTTTTCTAGAATTGATGACGTCTCATGAAATTAAATGATAGTAATATGGATAAACTGGAATGACATTTGGAAAATCATGAGCAAATTCTTAAATATAATCATCTTTGTGAGTTTTGTGTAAAATAAATGCTAAACTGGCACATGCGTTTTTCACTGTGGTCATGTAAAGTTACTATTCTTTGTGTTTTGCAGACACACTAATACAAGTGGCAAACCGCTTTGAAGGCGTGATGGGTGTAGACGTGGTCATCCTCTCACTGCCTTTCCGCATCTCTGAAGCTATTTTCACCATGATGGACAACATCGAAGGCATTAACGTCAAGGTACGAGGACACACATTTTGTACAGGATTTTATTTATAATTAGTTACAGTTTATTGTGTCATTGTGAATTTCTTTAGTCAATATTTTGATTATGTGTTGGGCGAATTAGAGAAAGATTTTACACTGTGATTAGCATTTCATTGTGAGTTTCTCTTTCAGTTTTAGTGGCCATTGAGAACTAGGATGATTTAATTTGTCATTTGATGCTGCACGTGTAACTCCTTATGTTACCACCAGAGGGAGGAATTTGATTTATTCTTACAGGCTACAAACACAGACATGTGATTGTGAAAAACTTCATTTCACATTTGTCAAAACTAATTTATGGGCAATTATACTTTTGTTTTGAAAGACTGAAAACGGCTCTGAACGTGATGTCATAGTGGTACAGTGACAGAAGGGGCAAGAGTTACATGTTATAACTTGTTCCCAATATCTGCGTGGATGGATCAAAAACACACTCTGTTGATTCTGCATATCAGGTTTCCTTCAAATCTAATTTTCATTCTGGTTCTGGGTTCAAATCCAAGTCAGAACAGGGTCTTTCTGAGTGGAGTATGCATGTTCTCCCCGTGTCTGTGTTGGTTTCCTCCAGGTGCTCCGGTTTCCTCTACCACTAAAAACATGTACAATAGTTCAGGGTGAATGAGTGTGTGTTTGTGAGTGCAAATAAACGGCTGAAAAATTAGTCCAAGGCAACAATCCGGAGAGTGGTGTTCATTAACAAGCACTGTCCCACCCAAAATAAATAATAAATAAATAGAAAACAATAAATACATAATTCTGTGCATATATTAAGAAATTCCCCTGGTCTTACCACACCATTGCACACATTTCATTTTGTAATAAAGTCTGGATTTGCTCCAATGAGCTCCGTTAACAGGTGGGAGGGGTTAAATCCTTTTGCTTGGATCTGAGTTTACCGTGACAAATTTAATCTGCCTGAGTGAGTGAGGAATTTAGCATTAAGCCTAGCTTTAGCCATCTCCTTTGCCGCTAACGGAGCCCTTGGGGAGTAGAGCAACAACATCTTTGCCAGCAGACTTTTACTAAACATTTCTCTTGCTCCGGCTTCAATTTCTTAATATTTGGAGCCGAACCGGAAAAGATTACTTTACTATCGCATTCTCCGTCGTTGCCAAACTACAGCCAGCTAATTTGGCGCAAACTCTTGACTTCACCGACAACTACCTACAACACCCGCCTCCCCCGCTCGCTGATTGGCCGGACGGGATACAACCGAGGTAACCGCAGCCACTAGGATCAGACCCAGACATAAATGTAGGGAAATAATAATTGACTGTAGTTTACGGATGGCTAAGACCAGGCTTTTGAGAAATGTATCTTGGCTGATTTTTGAGCATGCCCCTGCTGTCACCTAATTGTGACGGTAACACATTTTGCTATTTGCTGTAATGACATACCAGAGCAAATCAAGCAGTGGATGTGAGTCATGGCTGAGCTGCAGGCTTCATCTGTCTGAGCTTCACTTTTTATGTGGCCTTACAGCCTTTTACAGCCTCTGCGGAGCTGGAGCCTGACTGATGTTTTTCTGAGGGTGGGAAATGGTTAAGACAGCACGCACCAGAGACAAAGATACGCCTGTGCCTCCGTGCACTTACACAGCAACCTCTGACCCCGTTCAATATGTTAATCACAGCAGCACTGCTGTTATTGTTGCTCATCCTCCAGACAGATTGAGGAGATGTTTTGGCTTGACTTCTAACACGTGAATGGAAATTTGCTTTGTGTTTTTCCTTGGCTTTTATTAGTTAGTATTTATTTTCATTTTAAGGAGACAAAATTTACTTTTTTACCACGTCAAAAACAGACCTGGAGTTGTTTAGTAAATCGCCTCTGTTCTAAAAGGTCTTGTCTCAAATCTGTAACAGTGTGATGTCAATGTAACCCTATTACCGCACTTTCTGGACTTAAAGGCACAGCTGTATATAAACCTCACAAGCTAAATTTTAAAAGAAGGCTAATTTTGTCCCCATTAGGCCGCACTGGGCTGGCCTATTATCATAGACTGTATATATTAACGGACATAGTCACGCCTATCTCCGCCGTTCTAACTAATGGGCCAAAAAATATGCTCTTCTGGAGCTATCCAAAATGGCCGCGAGTGGTCCCGCCTTCAAAAATTCACAGCAAGTAAACTAGAGTGGACCAAAAAAGTTCGCCCCCCTCAGCATTGACACACATGTGGAACGGAGCTTTGGGCCAAGAGCCAACTTTTGGTCCATCCTGTAAAGGCGTTTTTGAGAGGTCTGCCAACGCTATATGTTAGCATTGGCTAATTCTTCTTCTGGGTCCACCCCCATCGGCCCGGGGTGGTATTGCAAGCATGTCAGCGCACGTCATTTTGGCCACTTTTGAGCTGGGACCCGCCCCCACTGCCTATTATGTAAACTTGCTATGCATTTGCAATCATACTATTTATATTCATGTAATGTGGGACCCCATTTATAAGCTTTACAGAACTTTTTGGGGAGTCAATTTTTCACAACTCACAAACTTATACACAAAATGGAATGTATTGGTGATGTGAAAATAAATAATATGTTCTAATGTAGCAGATAGATGACTGTTTTAACTTGTTACAACTTCATTCAGCATCCATGACTCATCCACCAGTCTGTTTTGACAATATATGAGTATCCTATAGCTTTTAAAACTTAATTTAGTCAAGATAATCAGTCCATTAACTCTGCTCTGACAACTCTACCACAATATAAATACACATATTAGCTGCAGCGCTATATAAGCCGTTGTTTTCAAAGTAGCGGCTTATTTTATATATCACCGTACATCACGCTCAGAGCTATTTTCTGCCTTTTAATTATAAATGTATACCTACCTAACTACCTAACTACCTACCTAACTACCTCTTCACTCGTATTTGGGCCGTACTTTGCTTATTCCACTTTTTATCGAGTGAAATTACGTTCTTTACAATATCACATCTGTGTTTGTAGCCTGTAATTTTCACATTTGGAACAAAACATGCAAAAACAGATCAACTGGTGGTAGCATAGGAATTTACATGGTTGACAGTTTGTTTCAGTGTATGTTTTTGATATAATTCGACATTCTAAAACATAGAATGACAAAATAAAAAGCGTATGTTGTCTGACTAAAAATAATGTTTAACAGTAATTCTTAATACCTCTCTGTGTGGAGTGGCAGACAAAGGCCCACAATTATTAAGCGCTTTGTGACTCTTGTCTGTGAAAGGCGTTATATGAATAAAGATTACTTGCTTAATTCCAAATTTAACAAGAATATTTTCATGCAAGAAAAAAAATATTCTAACAATATTATTTCATTTGAATAGTGAAAAACCCTTTAAATCTCATCTCATGTTGTCTGTGATTGAGTTGTTAAAGCAGCTCTAACCTCTTGGCTTCTGGACGCGCTTGACCCGACTCTGAAGAGCAGTGATTTAGAGAAGAGACTGTACGCTGACGGCTGGATTAGTCTGCGTTAGCGTTTGCGTCCGAAGAGAGGCTCAGACGATGCGCTCGTAAACAGCCAGATTGCACGACAGCTTGACTGCAGTTTTTAGCATATTCCCTGAGCTCTGTTGATAAAATGTTAAGGCCAATGGGAAAAGTGTGATCCATTGGCTCGCTGCTCTGCTCCACTCCAGGGTTATGTAAATGTCTCTCATAGCTCGTCCCTGTTGGTTTTTGTTGGAAGTTTGGCAAAAAAAAGATTTAAAATGTTCCCTTTCACTCGCGCTGACAGAAGTAATTTACCTTTTTTTTTGTGTGAACTCAAAACAGAACAGCGATAATCATTTCAAAGATTAACATGTTTTGGATCAATTCAAATTAAATTCATTCTTCAAACGACGGAAAGGTTACAATAAACCAATGTAGGGTTTTTTGTAAGTTGTAAGAAGCTACGTAGAGGTTATAACTGGGGTCCCACGTTGAATATAACTGATTTTTTTGGCTAGGGGGGAATGTATACAATGTAGGAATAAATCGATTGAGGTGTAGGTATTGTAATTGATTAGAAAATGACATGTAATATATACAGTGCCTTGCGAAAGTATTCGGCCCCCTTGAACCTTTCAACATTTTGCCACATTTCAGGCTTCAAACATAAAGATATCAAATTGAATTTTTTTGTCATGAATCAACAACAGGTGGGACACAATCGTGAAGTGGAACGAAATGTATTGGATAATTTAAACTTTTTTAACAAATAAAAAACTGAAAAGTGGGGCGTGCAATATTATTCGGCCCCTTTACTTTCAGTGCAGCAAACTCACTCCAGAAGTTCAGTGAGGATCTTTGAATGATCCAATGTTGTCCTAAATGACTGATGATGATAAATAGAATGCACCTGTCATGGTGTGGACTTTCTGTTGATGTATCTGGTTTTATTTTGATATGTTTGTTCTCTTGTCGTAAGTTTTACTTCCTGTCTGTCTTGTTGATTGTTAGCCCCTCCCTGATGTGCTACACCTGTGTCTACCTGTGTGTATTTAGACCCTGTGCTCCTGTCCTCTTGTTGTCGGTTCATTGTTGTTTCTCCCCCATGTCTTGCTCCCGGTTTCAGTTGTACTTTTTGTGGCGTTTATTCAATTATATTATTTTTGCAGTTCTGCTTTTGGGTCCTTCCTTGTTTACCCGTGACAGCACCTGTGTGTAATCAAGTCTCCGTATAAATGCACCTGCTCTTTGATAGTCTCAGGGTTCTGTTTAAAGCGCAGAGAGAACCATGAAGACAAAGGAACACACCAGGCAGGTCCGAGATACTGTTGTGGAGAAGTTTAAAGCCGGATTTGGATACAAAAATATTTCCCAAGCTTTAAACATCTCAAGGAGCACTGTGCAAGCAATTATATTGAAATGGAAGGAGTATCAGACCACTGCAAATCTACCAAGACCCGGCCGTCCCTCCAAACTTTCATCTCAAACAAGGAGAAGACTGATCAGAGATGCAGCCAAGAGGCCCATGATTACTCTGGATGAACTGCAGATAACTACAGCTGAGGGCGGAGAGTCTGTCCATAGGACAACAATCAGTCGTGCACTGCACAAATCTGGCCTTTATGGAAGAGTGGCAAGAAGAAAGCCATTTCTCAAAGATATCCATAAAAAGTCTTGTTTAAAGTTTGCCACAAGCCACCTGGGAGACACACCAAACATGTGGAAGAAGGTGCTCTGGTCAGATGAAACCAAAATCGAACTTTTTGGCCACAATGCAAAACGATATGTTTGGCGTAAAAGCAACACAGCTCATCACCCTGAGCACATCATCCCCACTGTCAAACATGGTGGTGGCAGCATCATGGTTTGGGCCTGCTTTTCTTCAGCAGGGACAGGGAAGATGGCTAAAATTGATGAGAAGATGGATGGAGCCAAATACAGGACCATTCTGGAAGAAAACCTGTTGGAGTCTGCAAAAGACCTGAGACTGGGACGGAGATTTATCTTCCAACAGGACAATGATCCAAAACATAAAGCCACATCTACAATCGAATGGTTCACAAATAGACGTATCTAGGTGTTAGAATGGCCAAGTCAAAGTCCAGACCTGAATCCAATCGAGAATATGTGGAAAGAGCTGAAGACTGCTGTTCACAAACGCTCTCCATCCAACCTCACTGAGCTTGAGCTGTTTTGCAAGGAAGAATGGGCAAGAATTCTAGTCTCTCGATGTACAAAACTGATAGAGACATACCCCAAGCGACTTGCAGCTGTAATTGCAGCAAAAGGTGGCGCTACAAAGTATTAGCGCAAGGGGGCCGAATAATATTGCACGCCCCACTTTTCAGTTTTTTATTTGTTAAAAAAGTTTAAATTATCCAATAAATTTCGTTCCACTTCACGATTGTGTCCCACTTGTTGTTGATTCTTGACAAAAAATTTAATTTTTATATCTTTATGTTTGAAGCCTGAATTGTGGCGAAATGTTGAAAGGTTCAAGGGGGCCGAATACTTTCGCAAAGCACTGTATAATAACAACACTTTAAACAGGGATGTCACACTAGTTCCAGACTCCACCCATTTCCTCAGGTCTCTGAGTGAAGACCGAACTCACTGGGGGAAATGGGTGGAGTCTGGTGTGCTCCTGCTTGGTTGGAATGAAAACCTGCTGCCACACTGGCCCTTTGAGGACTGATTGGTCACCTCTGTTTCTTAAGTACACAGTTTTGGCTCATACATTTCATACAATACAAACATTTGCATCTCCATACACACTTTCATCCGCACCCACAGAGGTCTTATAGTTCATTTCAGAGTACTACCCTTTACAATATATTTTAGCATTATCCTACATTGATTTATTATACAAATATTATGTATGAGTTTTTGCTATTAGGTTATTTTTCATTTATTTATTCTTTTACTTTCACTGTATATTGCGTGTTAGGTTAGATAATTGGACAATATTTTTAATCAATGTGTGATTTCTACTCAATTTACTAATTTTCATCATTTATTCTTGAAAAAACAAAACAAGTGATGTTGTTTGTCCCCGACTAGTTGTTTCAGAAATGCGGTGACCTGCGGGGCGAAGGCAGCAGCAGCTTGACAGGGGCCAAGGAGGAGGTGAAGAGAGCCAGGGTCACCGTGGACGACAGTGTGGGCTCCAGCTCTAGCACCCTCAGCGGCCTGGTCAGTGTCTTTACTCATATGTCTAACCCATTTCTCTTTACATTTTCTCTTCTTTCTCATCTTGATCACATTTTTCTTTTTCATCACTAGGGAAATACATCTGGTATTTTTAGAACCAAAATCAACTCATTTAATATGTCTCATAGCTATTATTTTTGTTAAGATCTAAGTTGGTCACGTACTGCTTAAAATGTCATGATTATTGAATGGTTTGCCTTTAAATAGTTTCTAGATAAATTAGGTTTAGATTGATTTCCAAAATCAATATTCGATTCTCCTTTCAAGTATTTTTACTATTTTATGTAAATTCGTGCCATCAGCAAATCATTTGAGTCAAAATACACCTGACCCCAATCGCCAATTTTATAGTTTAATATTTTTGTTATAAGTTTAGAGAAAGAATATCAAACTGTAAATATAATTCATTTGTTTTAATCTATGCTTTTTATCTATTTTTACTCTTACAACCATGAGCCAAAGCAAAGTTACTTAAAATGGCAATAAACAAATTCGGATTCGGATTCTATAATGTGTTAAATTCTGATGTTTTTTTTCCGCGCACAAAAGTTTGAATTAATGACATGACTTTGGGACTTCTGGAGGTACTTCCTGAGGGGACGTGCACCTGGTGTGGTTGACGTGCACCTGGTGTGGTTGACGTGCACCTGGTGTGGTTGCAGGTGTCTGACGTGGTGGTGAGGCTGAGGAACATGCAGGCGTACTGGGTGTCTCTGCCCACCGTCCTCTGCAGCGACCGCATCGCCACCGGGACGGGAGCCGAGGACAAGTGCTGGAACGGCATGAGTCGAGCCAGGTACCACAGAGCGGAACAGAAATCATTCTCTAAATTAAATCAATGAAGTTATAGAAGTAACAGTAAGCAATTTGTATTTCATGCTGTTCGACCTACTAGTGCAGTGTGCGTAGGAAAAACATGTATCTTAAGAACAGTGACTTGAAATAAACCAAACAAAAACAACATTTATTTTTATAGCACAGTGCATACACAATTCAACTCAAAGTGCTTCACTCGGACAATATCTTACTGAGACTAATTTACTTGTTTCGTCTTTAAGCAGTGTTTTTTCTAGCAACTGTTATTTAGGATAAAAATATTGTATCTGCCGTACCACTTCACGTCACCTCGAGTATCAATCAATCAATAAATCAAGTCATATGCACATTCTTTGGCCATTCCCAGACCATATACAAAAACTATCAACCTGCTCTAGACAAGCATACAGACACTCCTTGCATCTATAGATAGATTCTATGGACTCTGAAAAGACAGAGTAGTTTCAGAGGTGATTAGAGTGAGACATGACAGAAGAGAAAATGTGCATGACCTAAAAATGGCGTTCGTGATGACTGGACACGGTGGTGAGCGCTGATGGCACTGATGGCCGAACAAGAAGGTCGTGTTCTTGTCCTGACCCAGGTCATTTGTTTGGAGTTTGCATGTTCTGCTTGTGTCTGAGTGGGTTTCCTCCAAGATGCTCTGGCTTCTTACCTGGGACATACAGTAGTTTCACAGTTTTACGGCTCTCATAAATGTTTAGATTTTTTATATTTCTATTACTCAGATGGCGAAACTATTCATTTCTGCAATGCAAACAATTTTAGAATATTAGTTAATAGTTGCACTAATTGAGTGGTTTTTATCTTCATTTGAGTACGTTCTGACTGCCTTAAAACAATATTCGCCAATGGGACAATCCATTTAGTCCCATTTCAAGAACTGTTCCTTGATTTTCTCATTCCAAGGGAGACATTTCTTGCATCTCTTTAAAATGAGATAAATTGTCCCATTGGCAAATCTTGTTTTAAGGCAGTGAGAATGTGCACAATATTAATCTACATTTTGCCAAATTCAAGCAATTATTTACTTATTTGTCATAGGTTTTTCCAGTGTGATATTTAGAGGTACACTGTGAAGTTTTTACTCCCTTCTAGCGTCAAGATTATATATTGTAATTTACGGTACAGCAGCTTCGCAGGATCATATGTCGTCTTTGACTGTGGTCCCCAAACTCCTTTTTGTCCCTTATCAACCACTGTATTTCAAGATGGCGCATTGACATGTAGAGTCCTCCAGCTCTCATGGACATTTATGAGTCAAATTCAATCTGAAGAGACTCGAACAGGAAAACATAGTGAAGAAAATGACAAAGTCTGGGATCGTGTCTTTAATTCAGACAGAAGACATGTTTTATTGTTTATGGTAGAGACAGCACGAACAACACGAACTAAGGATGTAACAAACTGTTAGTGATAATATAGCATGGGAGAATGAAGTCCTCCAATCAGCAGCTGCCACGGCGTGCTTGTAGCTTGGCCTTCAGAAATCAAAACATCAAATGGAAAAGTACAGGCTTCTGCATATGTAAGAATGAAGTTAGAACTTTAACAATAGTTGCTTCAAAGTGTTATGAAATCTCTACCATAGAATTAGAATTGTATGTTGGTTTGCAGGTAATCTGACACTGCATGAATTACACATATGACACTAAAGACAATATTTTCAAGATTACATTTAACAGAATGTGGTTGGGATTTGGCGCTTAGACCCCGGCAGAGCACTGCACGATTGCAGAAGGGGAAAGAGATTATGAGATGAAATCCCCCGGGGCCTGGACCCTGGTGGTGGGAGCTAGGAGATGGATGAAGGAGCTGGCCTAGAACAAGGCGGCGATGGGGAGGAGGAGGGTTGCGGCATGAATGAAGCTGCTGCTTGGATGGAGCTTCTGTGTGAATTTCCGCTTAAGCTTCATTGCTAAGCCTATGTCAAAAATTCAAAAACATGGTGAAGGTAAATATTATTATAAAGGTCACAGTTGTTATTTAACGTTTTTTTTTTCATTTAGAGCAACTGTCAAAGTACCTTTAAACCCATTGAGACAGAATTGACCGATCTTCTTCTGTGTCCCAGATATCTTCCTGAGGTGATGGGCGACGGCCTGGCCAGCCAGATCAACAACCCTGAGGTGGAGATCGACATCACCAAACCGGACATGGTGATCCGCCAGCAGATCATGCAGCTGAAGATCATGACACACCGCCTCAAGAACGCACTCAACGGGAACGACGTAGACTTCCAGGACACCAGTGAGTCTCAAACTTTATCAAAGCTCATCCACTCCTCTTAAAAGTCAAGATTAAAGCAAATAAACAAGTTGGCATCTCATTCCAGAAGCAAAAAGGCATCCAAAATGAGATTACGTTTGAAAGGCAGCGAGCATGAATTAGACTCATTTTGAATTATTCTGTTTGTGCATCTTGGGAAATGATTCATAAGAACAAAATTAGTGGGTGCAGGACGGAGACCTCAGCCGCCTTGTTTGGTAAATACTTGAAATCATTCAGCAATCCAGTTTTCAGATCTTGTGGGGCCACCTGCATGTGAAAGCCACATCCTGTCAGCATTTTGAAGCTAAGCAGGGCAGTGCTTGTGTAGTGCTGTGATGAGAGACCTCAGGGCACTCCAGGCGCCGCAGCGGGGTGACCGCGACTGGAAAGTGTCAAACTTTTGTTGTGTCTTTAGGCAAAACATTTCACCCCATGTTGCTTAGAATGAGCCTGGTGCGTGCATGAAGGGTTGGTGGTGGTCAGAGGGGCTGATGGCACATACTGGTTACCTGGCTTCTGTCAGTGGGCCCCAGGGCAGCCGAGGCACGCTGACAGTAATATCACTGCAAACAATTATTAAGTTATAATTGGGTTTTTAATCTTAATTCGAGTACGTTCTGACTGCCCTAAAACAAGATTGCCATTGGGACAAGCCATTTAGTTTTCAAGAACTGTGGTTTTTATTTTGTCATTCCAAGGATGACATTTAAAGTATCTTTTGAAAACAAGATAACTTTCCTTGTCCTATTGGCAAATCTTGTTTTAAGGCAGTCAAAATGTTCTCAAATCAAGATACATTTTGCCAAATTTGGGCCATATTTGACTTATTTTTCATCACTTTCTGTCTGGTTATGTATGGAGTGAGTAAATAATAACATGTGAAGTGTTTTTGAGTGTCCTAGAAAAGCTCTATAGAAAAAAAAAAGAATTATGATCATCTACAAACCCATCTGGCCTACTCCAAAAACCATAACTCGTGATCTCTTTCTCAGGCGACGACAGCAGCGGATCCGGGAGCGGCATGTGCACCGACGAGCTGTGCTCCCGGGGAACGCGCCGCGACATCCCCGCCTCCAACCAGCCCAAGTACTACCCCAACGCCCCGGAGGACGCAGCCGTCAAGGGCACCGGCGCCGGCCACTGTCACCTGCCCCACGCCTCCTCGCTGCTGCTCACACTGCTCACGATGCTACTGCTGCGGCGATAATGCGCTCCGAAAACTGGGACTATGTACGGAACACAGGTGCGAGGAGGGAGGGAAGAGGGAAGGGGGGCGAGGGGAGAGGGCGGAGGAGAACGAGAGAGACGGACTGCTTCAAAAAGAGAACATGGATGAACTGAAAGAAATAGGATTCTTCAGACTATTTCCTTTGCTTTTATTTTGTTCATTAGAGCTGGTCTTTTTCACATCGTATGCCATTTACTGGTGTCTGGGGTCTTTCGGAAAATATTTGTACTTAAAAAGACTGTGGTGTGTTTGCGTGACGGTACGGTGGTGTTGACGCCATGAGAAAAGAACAATTTTCAAACATGAATGAGTCTTTTGTATTGGCCACTCCTTCATAACAGCACTTTCTTACTTTAGAAAATCAAGGAGACAAACTGCAGAAGAAAGAATTATTTTAGACAAACATTATTCCACATATGAAGTCTACAATTTTACAGATTCAAAAAAAATAACCGTGTAGCACAGTTTTGTGTCATGTAGCACTTCTTTTGGTTTAACATTATCAGCATTGGGAAATTGTTCAATAAAATCATACACTAGCCCGGCTGATTTGCAGGTTTTCATTAACACTAGTTTTTTTATATACTTTGGCTGAGAAATATGCTCAGAAAAGTTAAAACTATGATATTTTAAAACCCAGCACATCATTATTTAAACTGTATGCAAATTGAATTCACCGGAAGACTGATAAGAAGGAGCTAATGAAACGTATGCAAGGGAAAATCAAGGCTTGGCATAACAGCAGAGTGCGATGTCTGGATATGTACAAATGTGACTGAGCTGTAAGAATTTTGTTTGAATGGCAAAGGAAAAGTTTTCTAGGACTGATTAATTACAGAAATTTATCATTTTATTGTTGATTTTCTAACAGGGATCTGTTTAATGTGACAGTAATCTGGCATGAGGATGTACATAAAGCCCCACATCGGGAGAATCCTCTGAGTCTTTTTAAACTCACTCTGAAAATGATTTGACGTCCTTTGGAGCTCGTCTCAGTTTGTCATTTAAAACTTATGTTGTCAGAAGATTTTAGGAAAACGCTTTTATTTTCCAAGTGCTTTAGCCGTGTGTCTTCCTCATTCCCGCTTTGAAACTCGACTTGCCTGTGACTGCCTTCGCCACTCGTGTTTGGGAGATTTAAAGTTTATCAACGTTGAGGACTTCAAGATGGCAACATTCCAGTTTTTTTTTTCAGGGCGCGGCCCATGACATCATCCGCTGAAATTTGCACAACTCCTCCGTCCCTTTTCCTTTCTGCTCTTCCCGTATCTCCCTACTGCCCTCATTATAAACTGCACTTTGGTCAGGTCTGTGGTGTTACTGCAGACTCCTCATGTCTGTGGCACCAGAGGTGGCCCAGAGGTGGCCCAGAGGTGGGCCGCGAGCCACACGTCACTGGGAGATCGCCATTTCATGAGGAACAAGAACACTTTGAATAGTTTTGTTTTATTGCTTTTATTTTGATCAAAGCTGAGTTTGTGCTTAACAGTGACAGTAGATGGCAGAAGGTTCAAAATACAAAAACGTCTCATTTGCTGTTGTACCTGAAATCTTGTGTCAATTATATACATTTTAAGATTTTCAAGATGTCTGCGTCATCATTCTGCTCATGTTGTAGGGACGAGGATTACTCACTTCCCAGAGTTCATTGGGTTTGTAACTAAAGAAAAGCTTGTGGTTTCGGTTGCCCTGTGGCTTCCCAGAATGCACCGGGACAGACTGCCACCTAAAACGGACTGGACACTCCAGTGATGATGTCAGAGGGACAGCTGCTTTGTGGTGCTGCCACTGTGGGGCATTCTGCCACTTCTTAAGCACACTTCGCTGTGTTCTTTGTGTAAACGAATAAAACATACAGATGGTATGGAGTTTGTTTTGTCAATGACATTTATATATATATATATATATATATATATATATATATATAATTTTAACACTAGGACTCTCACAATTCTGACACTAAAAGAACTCCAAGAGCAGTCATTTTGGCGGCTCCCATTTAAATTCATGGAATTTTGCTAAAAATATATATATATTTATATATTAGTTATCACTGCTTTTATACTATTACTAAGTAATTCAAATGGTTTTTACTTTTAATACGTAGTATAAGTGATTATATAAATTGACAACAGCAAAACGAAATACACTGACACAAGTAAAGAGTGTGAAGACCACAAACATATGTAAGCGAAGTAATTACACTTCCAAATGCACAAACTGTCGTATTGACTGCTTCTAGTTCTAGTGTTAGCTAAATTCAACTCATTAAACTTTCACTTTCCTCCACTAATATTGTGTTGAAGATCCGAAATGTATACAGGCCTATTTCATAACTGGTTCAATGAAAAATAAAGTCTTCTATGTCTTCTATGATATGTTTTCCATCGCCCATCATGGCCATGATCATGCGGCCATGACAAAGGCTCAGTTTACTTTTGAGATCCCACCTTTGGCTTTTATGCGTTCAAGAAACCAACTCGTACCAGTTTCTCTCCATAAGAAGACATACACTGCCATCTGCTGGCGAATGTTACTCATTACAATTGAACACATAAACTTGTAGTTATTGTTGGATAGCCCAAATTACAACAGATCTCACAGAATTGTTGATTTGTAAACAATTATAACACATGGGCAGGTTTTGGTGCTTTTACAGAATGTGAAAAGACACCTTTTTAACGTACAGTATTGTACAAAGTATACATGTGGAGTAGATGTGGCAGATACTGACTGCTTCAGGAGACGGGGCATTACAAGCCCCCTGTCCGCAGGAATAAGAACATTTCTGACACCCTTGAAATGTCTCATGTCCAAAATGTATCTGTCTTGATTCTGGTCTTCGAGTAACAGACTCTAAGTTTCATAATGACGTCAAAGAAAAAAACTTTTGCATCGACAAGGAAAAACTAAGAAAAGAGAAAGCTCAGGGGTCAACACAATGACAGAGGGATTAAAATAAGTGTTTGTTTTGTATCCAGTTTAAGAGCGGCCTTGACCTTCAATGTATGTTCATCACAGAGACCAGAGGTTCTTCAACTGGTGGTCAGGATGATCATCAGCCACAGAAGAAACTATACAGGATATGACTATTCAAATTACTGCTACTGATGGGAACAAAGACTATAATCTAAGGTCCATGTGTGAATAGATTTACCAAGTGAGGGCGCTGTTGACTCGTATTAGTGTTGGAGCATTTGGAGCAACATAAACAAGGGATTCTCTCAAGACCTTGTCTGTGGCACAAATGTTGCTCTCAAGGAACAAACTACCACCCTAAATATATATTTGGTTGTTGTCACAGTGTTAAATTGATAGACTAAGTAATTTCTTGTTTAAATTGTTTTGCCTAAATTATCTTCTCACAACGCCGGCCACCTATTAATAAATTGCCTACATCCTCATTTGAGAGTATAAAGTCCTTTATCCTTGTGCTACCCTCAGGTTAAAGTGACCCACTACAGATTATACAAGTAGAAGAAAAATACCTTAAATTTTAGTCTAAAAGGGTCTAAATTACTCATCAAAATTCAGCTAAAAAAACATAATTTTGTGTATTTTATAATCACTGTATCGGGTCGATTTGACCCGAGAATAGCACAAGAACAACAAGGAGATCAGCCCCTTTAAGATGGCTCTCAGCATGACGGAGGGCGCGGCTGTACGAACTGATTTAGCAGTAAAGACTTCTTTCCTTCTCCTCACACCTCAGGTCTGTCACAGATTGAAATGGTTGTTGTAAGGAAAGGTGGATGTGGCAGAGTCCAGAGGGAGTTATTATAAAACCATTGTTAGTGATGTATGTGGTGTGACCAACAAAAGAAGATACAATCCAGTTAAAAGTTCTTACATATTAATACACAAAGATGACTGAAGCATTTGCCACTAGTTTGGTAGATTTAATAGTTACCTAATATAACTTAAGTTCTACGAATAGGTGCGTAGTCCCTTAGGACTTCGCTAGTGGGATATCACTCGTGACCCCCAGGTCACACGCCAGAGAGATCAAAATAATTTGCTCCAATCACCAGCCACCTTCCTCTATAAAGGCCCCTGCACAAGGCCGCACCCCCTCTTGAACTCTGCCAAGCCGGGCTGGCCTGATGGGCTCGTAGCTAAGGGACTACGCACCTATTCGTAGAACTTAAGTTACATTAGGTAACTATTAATTCTACATCATGGTGCTACGTCCCTTAGGACTTCGCTAGTGGGACACAACGCGGAGGCCGTAGGAACATGTACTCCCAGTAGGCCAGCGAAGGGTGATTGGAGCTCCGCCTGAGCAAGACCCTCCACAGTGAGAGGAGTCAGGGCAGAAGAACAAATGCGTGTTACCGGGCCACTCCTACCAAGGATACCCCCACGTAACAGCCTCTCCCAAGGGCTCCCGACGTGGACTACCGACCGACCAAACACACATATAAGTACCGCACCTGTAGGACGCCTCTCCCAAGAGCTCCTGAACCAGGGCGGAAAGTCAACCGAAGGCCCCCTCAGAGGCCCCCTCAGAGGACTGAGTTAGACCTAACGGTCTAACTCAGTCCGCTGCACTCAGCACGGAATGGGCCACCGACCGGTCCGACACATCCAAAAGATAAGACCGGACAAAAGAAGAGGACGACGCCCAAGAAGCCGCACGGCAGACGCCCTCGACCGACGCCCCCCTAAGAAGGGCCGTAGAGGCCGCCATCCCACGCGTGGAATGCGACCTGAAGCCCACCGGGGGGCCAGACCCTGCGTCTGATACGCCCGCCGCACCGCCGTGGCGACCCAGTGCGCCAGCCGCTGAGCCGACAGCGTGTCCTGCAGGACACGTGTCCTGCAGGCCCAACGTCATAAGTACGGGACTGCTCATCCCACGTGACTCGGCTGCTGTGCCCCCCCCTTGGCTCTTGCCTCATGGAGGGGGGGGCGAGCCCCTGGAGTGGGAGACCCCGTGTTAGCCTTTGTAGCTCAGAGATGCTAACACGCGTTCGGCC